GAATATACTAAAAATAATCAAAGTGTACAGTTTAAGTGGTGTATACTACATGAATTAATAAAACTATTATAAAAATACTCAATACACCAACAAAATGATGCACATGCAAGGCTGTAAATTGTTATATCTTATATAATAAAAGCCTAATATGCTAAGTGTTCGGTCAACCAGTCAGCCGTTCAACCAATCAAAGCATAATATGCTAATGATATACTAAGACCACTCAAATGTTCAATGTGATGTGCACTGACCACCGGGGGCAGATGCTCTGACTGGTAGGTTAGCTTCCTTCTGGGGTTGGGCCCAATAGGGACTGAGCAAGATGGACCAGATATACCCTGGAGCCTTCCCACAATCCCTCCCTGGCTGGCCAACTTCCCACATCTTTCCATGGCCCCAATCATGTACCACTGGGGTCCCTTAGCCTGACTTGCACTCTCTCACAATCCTCAGATGTTGTCAGAGAGCCCAATCCTGCAGGCTAGCCGAGGGACCCCAACTGGTGCACGAATTTATGCACTGGGCTTCTAGTGTCATTTATAAAATTTTGAAATCTGCAAGGCAAAAGGGATGGTAAAATAAATATGTTCAGTCATATGAATAAGTATTAAGTAACTACTGTAATAATCTTTTGAATACTTATTAACACAAGGATATCTCCTGCTGTAATAATAAGGGAAAAGACAAAATGTAAAATCTGCATTTAGACACACATACACATTCACTTACACAGAAAATTTACAAAAGAAAATCTACAATCAATGAAAAATGGTTAATATTGGGTAATGGGATAAATGGTGATTTGTGTTTCCTTCTCTTTTTTCTATATTCTGTTTTCTGCTGCATATCCTATCTAATAAAAGAGTAACATTCACTGAAACCAGTTTGGCTCAGTGGATAGAGTGTCAACCTGTGGACTGAAAGGTCCCAGGTTTGATTCTGGTCAAGGGTATGTACCATAGTTTTGGGCACATCCCCAGTAGGGGGTGTGCAAGAGGCAACTGATCAATGACTCTCTCATCCATGTTTCTGACTTTCTGTCCTCTCTCTTCCTCTCTGTAAAAACTCAGTAAATATATATATATATATATTGTTTTAAAAAGTAACATGCAAATTAACCATCACTCCACTAAACCCACAAGCCACACCCACCAGCCAATCAGGAATGAGTATGCAAATTAACCCAACCAAGATGGCTGCAGCCACAGAGCTAGAGAGAGCAGGAGGCTCGAGTTGCCCCCAGCGATGGAGGAAGCCAAGCTTTCCACACACCCTGGATGGTTTAGGCCTCCACTTAAGGCTACAAAGTTTCAATTATAAAAGATAAATAAATCACAACAAAAATAGCTGTGGCCAGGCCATGGTGCAAGCAGGAGGCTTGGCTCCACTCAAGACTACAAAGTTTCAATTATAGAAGATCAATAAATCCCAGATCCTAGGGCCTCCACTTGGGTCGCAGGGGGCATGGCCAGCCTGCAAACCATCACAGGCCCCTCGTCCAGGCCACCCCATGCTCCAAAGGAACCTCACCCTGATCCAGGACACCCTTCAAGACAAACCAGCTGCCCCCTACTCATGCACCAGGCTTATATCATAAAAGAGTAATATGCAAATTGGTCATCATTCCAACACACAAGATGGCTGGCCCTATGAGGTCAAAGATCCTGCCCCCATGTGGACACAAGATGGCTGCCACAAGATGGCCAGCATGGGACGGCACTTGGGAGGGACCAGACCTGCAGGGGATGGCAGTTAGGGGTGACCAGACCTGCAGGGGAGGGCAATTAGGGGCAATCAGGGGGAGTAATTAGGCATTATCAGGCTGTCAGGGTTGTGGTTAGGGAGTAATCAGGCTGGCAGGCAGAAGCAGTAAGGGCAATCAGGAAGGCAGGAAGGCAAGCAGTTGGGAGCCCACAGTCCTGGTCCCATATTGGAGAGGATGCAGGCTGGGCTAAGGAACACACACAGCCTGTGCATGAATTTTGTGCACTGGGCCTCTAGTCCTATATAATAAAAGGCTAATAGGCAAATTGTCCCCATGGACAGGAGTTTGACTAACAGGGCGTTAGATGTGTGCTAACCACCAGAGGGCAGCGCAGAACATGGCTGGTGTTGGCACAGCACTGGCAGCAGGTGGCAGTTGACATGCTGCTGGCCCCAGTGGGCCCCAGTGAGAGCAGAACTGCAGCAGGATGGTGGAGCAGGAGAGCAGGTGGTACCAGACCAACACAGGTGCAAGCAAGGGCCCCAATTTCCCTGCCGGTTACCTCATAGATCGGCCCTGATAACCGGCCAGGCCTAGGGACCCTACCCATGCACAAATTTCATGCACTGGGCCTCTAATATGTTTATAACCAATAAAAATATTTCTTAAAAATTGAGAAAATATTGAGGAAGAAAGTTTATCTCCAAAACTTACTTGAAATGAATAGTCTAAAAGATCTGAATAGAAAATTATAGACTATGTAGTCAAAGTTTTTCATTTTACTAAGAAATCAGAGTCCAAAATGGCTAAGTGCTCTGGCCCCTGCCAGCCATCTGTGAAACTCTCCTGTTTGTCTTTCTCTTTTGATGAACCATCTACACATATTCAAAGGTAGCTCAAAAAAAAAAAAAAAAGATTGAGGGATGGACCTTGAGGGCATTATGCTAAGACAGAAAAAGACAATACTATACAATCTCACCTATATGTGGAATCTAAAAACAACAATACAGAACAGATTGGTTGTTATCAGAAGTTTGGGGGTTGGAGGTGCTGAGAGAAATGGGTGAATGTGGTCGAAAGGTACAAACATCCAATATGAAATAAATAAGTCCTGGGGATATAATGTACAGCATGGTGACTATAGTTAACAATACTTTAGTGTATATTTGAAAGTTGCTGAGAGTAGATCTTAAAAGTTTTCATCACAAGAACAAAAAATTATAACCATGTGTGGTGATGGATGTTATCTAGACTTGTGATGATTATCTTGCAATATACACTTACATCAAATAATTATGTGACGCACCTGAAAGTAATATAAGGTTCTATGTCAGTTATATCTCAATTTTTTAAAAAAGAACTACTTCTTTTCTTGGTAGGGGAGGTGGAAAGGGGGGGGGGGGGGCGAGGAAGGGGTATTTCTTTCCACAAATGGGATTCTGTTCTAAAATTATTGCAAGATTAAGTAGAAAGACTCAACAGTCTCTCGCCCAGACCATTAGAGGGCACTAGCAAGTCAAGACAAGCTGAGCCCTATCCACAGTGAATAAACTACAGTGAGAGTAACCATCATTTTTTGGCATGAGAAGCAGACAAAAATGATTAAAACCATGCTGACCCTTGGATGACTGTCTTCAGCTTTTCCTGGCAAGCGATGGCTAACGGAGTCCTTTTGAAGTGGGGCATTCTGGCCTGGCTGCAAAGCCCAATTCCTCAAGAAATGAATGACAAGAACAAGAAATGAATGACAAGCCAGGAAACAGCCCCAGCAACAGCTCCCAGCTGTTTCCAGGCAGCAGCCCATAATCACCTATTTCCCCGCTCCAAGTGTGGCAGAGGGATCCTCTGGCCTTCAGCAGGCGGGGAGGCAGCACAGCTGGGAGGCTGGGAGAACACAGAGTGAATGCTTCTATCAAAACCACCAGCTGCCAATGTTGTTCCTTGGGGTCCCACACCCTCCAGACAAAAAGAAGAGAATCAAGCCAGAGCCCAGTACTCCTCGGCGGAAACAAAAGCGCAGTGAAAGTTGGCAAGCCTCCCTGTTCTGAAATGATTCCCAGACAACAGTAAATTGGGAAAGTGGTCAGTGTTGAGTGGAGACACGTGGGCCTGGCTGCAAAGCCCAATTCCTCAGCTCTCTTCACAATATGTGAACATAAAATACACAGGGTTAGGGGGAATAGGGTTCACCCATTTCCATTAAGTCCAATTAAAGAACCTTATCCCGGAAAGACAGGGCGATACTATAGTGCTTTAGTCTACATATGCTGGGAGAGGATCCATGTTCAAATCTCAGCTCTGCCGCTCACTGATTAGCTGAACCTGTGCAAGTTACTCAGTTTTTTTCTGTGCCTCGGTTTCCCCATCTGTAAAGTGAAGACAGCAGTAACAATAGTTCCTTCTTCCTACATGGCAATGAGGATTACATGGTCCCTGACACATTATTAGTGCTCAACAAATGTTAGCTATTAGCTAGTGCTAGTGGTGATGGGTATAAAAGTCTTAAAATACAGAGCTTTTCTACCCTTGTTTCATAAGCCAACCCAACATCTTGGGGCCTTTATTTTGAGTAAATTCTCTCTTAATGTAAAGACCCTCAAAAAAGCTTGTAGGCAATCTATCATTCAAAACCCAGGAAAACCCTTATATCACACAACTAAAAGTTATTTCCAAAATCTGCCCTGGTCTGTATACACTAAAATATGTTCCTTTTCTCACTTAAGTTGCTGGTTGTGGAAGTTCTTCCCCAAAGGCGAATTCATCAGGGTTCAATGTGAAAGTTTATAAGTACAATGTCTACACTTTAAGTTGTTCTACCAATTGTTGAAATGCCAACTCCCCATAATTGATATGTGCTGGGATAAATACTTATATTAAGATTAATTAGTGTGGCTCATTGTATTTTCCAAAGATGGTCACAGAAGGAAAAGGAGGGTCAGAGTACTCTTGCTATTTAAGTAATTTTAATTCAAAATCATAAATATGCCAAAGTGACATATTTGAGGGCGGCCTGCCCTCAGTCCCATCTTTAATCTTGCAAAATAAGCTAAACTAAGTTTTGCTTGTGTGAATAAACTGGCTTTATATGCTCAGGGAATTTTCAAAGCTTATTTCCATTTATCCTTGATTTTAACGTGAGCTAATTGGCACACAACTTGTATTCTAGGTACTGTGTCTGTGGCATGGGCCTTCAGTTTCAGGGGGTGATGGGTGATGGTCTGTTCCTTGACCCTCTGCACTCAATGCAGAACCTGGTGAAGAAAATGATGCTGAATGGCCCACCAGGCCCCCCAGACTATCTGATGTCGGCATTCCTCTTGAGATAGTTGGTGTAATGAGTCAGAAGTAGCTTCTTGACCAAGCTGCTGTAGATGGCCCATGACGGGATCAGGCTCAGAAAGCTCGCCTTAAATAGACAAAAACATGAGTGTCTGGGTGAAAAAAAGAGCAAGGAAATTAGAATTAAAACATCTCAGTTTATATTTATCATTTCAAAAAAAATATTTCTTCTGACTACTGAAGTTAAGTCCCAAAATCTCCTAGTAAAGTCATGTGTCACTTAACAAGAAGGATTCATTCTAAGAAGTGCATCATTCGATGATTGCATCATTGTGTGAACATCATACAGCATACTTACATAACCCTAGATGGTACCTCCTCCTGTACGCCTCGGCTGTGTGGTATAGACTATTGCTTATAGGCAACAACCTATACAGCACATTACTGTACTGAATGCCGTAGGTGGTTATAACACAATGATAAGTATTTGTGTATCTAAACATGGAAAAAGTATACTTAACATTTTTAAATATGGTTACAATATGGTAGAAAAGATAAAAAATGTACATCTGTATAGGACACTTAGCATGAGTGTCACTCAAAAAACTACAGCTGCTCTGGGTGAGTCAGTGAGTGAGTGGTGAGTGAATTAAAAGGCCCACTACATTACTGTTTGCTGTGGAAACTTTTCATCACTATATAGTTAAGATACACTAAATTTATTTTTAAGGACTTAATTCTTCAATGATGAATTAAGCTTAGCTTGCTTTAACTTTTCTATTTTATAAAATTTTTAGTATCTTTAGCTTTCAATTCTTCTGCAATAACACTTAGCTCCAAACACAAACACATTTTATAACTGTACAAAATTATTTTTTCTTTATATCCTTATTCTATAAGTTTTTTTTTCCTATTTTTAAATTTAATTTTTTTCCTTTTTAAACTTTTTTATTCAAAACTAAGCTACATGGAATACTATGCTGCTATAAAAAAAAAAAGAACTTTTACCACTCATAACAACATGGATGGACCTGGAGAGCATTATGCTAAGCCAGTGGTCAGCAAACTCATTAGTCAACAGAGCCAAATATCAAAAGTACAACGAATGAAATTTCTTTTGAGAGCCAAGTTTTTTTTTTAACTTAAACTATATAGGTAAGTACATTGTTATTAGCTTAATTGGGGTACTTCTAAGCTGGCCTTTACTAAAAACTCAAGGGGCCAAAGAGCCACATGTTTTGCCGACCACTGTGCTAAGCAAAAAAATTAGCCAGTTGGAGAAAGATAAATATTATGAGGTCGCACTCATTTGTAGAATATAATGAACAACATAAACAGATGAACAAAACTAGATCCAGAGACATAGAAGCATTGAACAGACCTTCAAACCTCAGAGAGAAGGGGGTGGGGGAAGAGATCAACCAAAGGACTTGTATGCTCTCAGATAAGCACAACCACTGGACACAGATAGGAGGGTGAGGGCATGTGCTGGGGGTGGGAGCAGCCAGGGAGAGGTCAGTGGGGGGAGCTCTGGAGCCTCCTTCCTTTCTGAGGGAGAAGTGAGGCATCCAGGGGTGAGACTGCCTGGCTTTGTGGGGGCAGGCCTAGGGGCTGAGCATGGGCCTCCAATGCCTCAGAAGAGCTGGCTCAGCCTGCCAGGGCCTCCTGCACACCGTGCTCACTCGTTTCGAGAGGGAGAAATTATCAATTACCAGGATTTCATGGGTGAGGCAGCCGCAGGTTTCATTGCCAAATGTGACATAATTGAGTGATTCTTTAACAAACTCATCAGCAGTCTTGGTTATCAGGCTGGTGTTGAGGTTCTTTGTCATTGGGGTTGAAACAGCATAGGGGGTCAGCACCTACAATGGGAAAGAAAGCCATAACACAGCAGCAATCTGCTCATCCCTGGGAAGCCAATCCCCACCTCCCCATCCCTTCCTTTCCCAACTCCAGCCGTCCTGTCAGAAGATACAGGAAGGGGGAGGTGCAGAGACACAGAAGCGGCACAGAGCTGACAACCAGCCCCTGGTTTCCCTTTGCCACTAACACCAAGGGAGACTCAGCCACACACCACTGTGCCCGTGTGTACATGGCTGAGGCATGAGCCAGCTCTCAGAGCATGGTTGTCAGGCTTTGAAGTAAAAGTGTAGGACACTCAGTTCAAACAAATCCAGGAAAACAGTAGCAACAACAAAATTCAGTAGAACTGGGGGAGACAAAATGGCGGTTGAATAGGCAGACATGTCCTGCACCTTCTCCTGGAGCATATAGAAGAAACAACTAAATCGAATAACATCCACCCGGAGTTGGTGAATTGAGCACAGCTGGTGAGACAATCCATGGCTGGAAAGGACAAAGAACATCTGGAGCACATTTTCCTCTCTCCTTCCTTTTTACTCCTTATTAAAAATTGATCTTCCTTATCTGCTTTATTGGTGTGTTACTATTATACTAGTCTCTGCTGGCTTACTCATATATCCAATTTCCTCTCCCCTTCTCCAAGTCTATGTGCACTTCTCTTTTCTCTTTCTTCACTAGCCAATTTTTTATGCATTTGTTTTTCCTCGATTGCTCTCTTCTTCTCCTAATTGCTTAATTAGTTTAATTCACCAAACTCAAGCCTATTTCCAAAAATAGCTGAATATACAGAGAGATTTTAAAAAAGGAATAATTTTTTGTTATTTTGTTTTTTACTTTTCTTCTTACCCACTCATTCTCTTTTTACCTCCTCTATATTGAACTTTAGCCATTCCCCCATTCATTCAATTCCTTTACCTTACCTTTTGGATATAAGCTCTGCCTCTTCAGACTCAGTTCCCCTGTTTTTTTCTGGGTGTTAGTGGTTTGAATTTTTTGGTTTATTTGTTTGTTTTGTGGAGTTTTCTCCCCATTTTTGTATATTTTCCCCCTTCTTTTTTCTTCTTTTTATTTTCTCTCTTGCCTCTTTCTTCTTCTCAATATAATTTTTGCACTCTTTTCTCTCCCCTAATTCTCTTTTCTCTGGTGGTCACCTTTACTGGGGTTATCAGTGCCATGAATACATTCATGTTTTGTCCCTTCTGTGTCGTGTCTTATTGAGTTGTATTTTGTGCCTTTCAGTCAACATGGTAGAGAGTGAACCACATAACCAGACACCCTAAGAGGATCAAAAATGGGGAGGCAAAGAAACAGACCCCATATGAAAGAAAAGGAGGACTCACAAGAAAAGGAAGTAAACAAAATGGAGGCAAGCAATTTGTCAGAGAAAGAATTCAGAGCAATGTTCATAAGAAGACTGAAAAGGATGGAAGACAAATTCAACAACATGTTTAAGAACCCAGAGGAAATGAAGAAGAACCTAGAAGAAATGAATAATGACATAGTGTGATAAAGAACACAATAGAAAGCATCAACAGTAGACTAGACGAAACTGAGGACTAAATCAGCAAGCTAGAATACAAGGTACAAAGAAACACCCAAGAAGAGCAGCAGCTGAGGGGGGTGCGGGGGGGCGGGGAACAACTTAAAAAGCAGGAGAAGAGCTTTGGGACAACAGGAAACAAAACAACATATGCAGAACAGGGGTATCAGAAGGAGAGGAAGAGAAGCAAGGAATAGGAGACCTGTTTGAAGAAATAATGACAGAAAACTTCCCAAACTCACACAAGCCCAAGAAGCACACAGAGTCCCAATCAAGAGGAACCCAAAAAGATGGACACCAAGACATGTCATAATTAAATTGGCAAACACCAACAACAAACTAAGAATGTTAAAGGCTGCCAGAGAGAGACAGAAAGTTACCTATAAGGGATCTCCCATTAGACTATCAACTGATTTCTCAACAGAAACACATCAGGCCAGAAGGAAATGAAATAAAATATACAAAGTGATGCAAAGCAAGGGACTGAATCCAAGAATACTTTACCCAGGAAGGTTATTATTCAAAATTGAAGGTGAAATAAGGAGCTTCACAGACAAAAAAATGGCTGAGGAAGTTTATTACCATCAAGCCACCAATGCAAGAAATGCTAAAGGATTGAAGAAGAAGAAGAAGAAGAAGAAGAAGAAGAAGAAGAAGAAGAAGAAGAAGAAGAAGAAGAAGAAGAAGAAGAAGAAGAAGAAGGAGGAGGAGGAGGAGGAGGAGAAGAAATAGGAAGGGAAGAAAGAATATAGGCATAAAGAATAAAAATGGTACATCATCCAAACAGGGTATTTCTGAAAGCCACTTCCCACTGGTGATTAAACTCCAGTAAAAGTTCTTAATCCCTGGCCGGTGTAGCTCAGTGGATAGAGGGCCGGCCTTCAGACCCCAGGCTCCCGGGTTCGATTTTGGTCAAGGTCACGGCCCTCAGTTGCAGGCTCCTCCCAGCCTGGGCCCTGGTCAGGGCACCTGCAGGAGGCAACCCATTGATGTGTGTCTCCCTCGTTGATGTTTCTCTCTGTCTCTCCCCCTCTCTTTCACTCTCTCTAAAATCACTGGGAAAATATCCTCGGGAGAAGATTTTTTTAAAAAGTTTAATAAAAATGTGTCTGGGACGAAACTTGTTTGGCTCAGTGGATAGAGCGTCGGCCTGCAGATTGCAGGGTCCTGGGTTCGATTCCGGTCAAGGGCATGTACCTTGATTGCAGGCACATCCCCAGTAGGGGGTGTGCAAGAGGCAGCTGATCGATGATTCTCTCTCACCGATGTTTCTAACTCTCTATCCCTCTCTCTTCCTCTCTGTAAAAAAAATCAATAAAATATATTTTTTTTAAATAATAAAAATGGTGACAAACAAGTACCTATCAACAACAACCTTAAACATAAATGGATTAAATGCTCCAAACTAAAGGCACAGGGTAGCTGAATGGATAAGAAAACATGATCCATATATCTGCTGTCTACAAGGGACCCACCTCAGAACAAAGGACTCACACAGACTGGTGGTGAAGAGATGGAAAAAAAATTTTCAGGCAAATGGAGATGAAAAAACAGCGGGAGTAGCAATACTTATATCTGACAAAATAGACCTCAAAGAGGAGGCCATAACAAGAGAAAAGAAAGGCCACTTCATAATACTAAAGGGAGTAATTCAACAAGAGGATATAACTCTGGTAAACAAACAACACCCAATATAGGAGCACCCAAATACATTTTTTTAAAAATGTCTGGAAGATATTAAGGGAGAGATCAACAGCAGTACAGTCATAATAGGGGACTTTAATACCCCATTAATGCCTCTGGATAAATCTTCCAAATAAAAAATCAGCAAAGAAACATCAATCCTAAATGACTCACTAGATCAGATGGAATTAATTGACATCTTCAGAACATTTCACCACAAAGCTACAGAACATACATTCTTCTCAAGTACACATAGGTTATTTTCAAAGATAGACCACATATTGGGACATAGGCAAAGTCTCTTCAAATTTAAAAAGACAGAAATCATATCAAGCATCTGTCAGATCACAATGGCAAAAATTAGAAATAAGCTACAATTAAAAAAATGAAAAAAAGCAAGCACTTGCAGGCTAAATAGCATGTTATTAAACAATGATTGGGTTACCAAAGATATCAAATAAGAAATAAAAAGCATCCTTGTAGCAAATGACAATGAAAATACAACAATCCACAATCTATGGGACAGAATGGAAGCAGTCCTGAGAGGGAAGTTCATAGTTCTACAGGCCTACCTCAAAAAATAAGAAAAAAAAATGGTAATAAATTATCTAACCTTACAACTTAAAGAATTAGAAAGAGAGCAACAAGAAAAGCCCAGAGTGAGCAGAGGGAAGAAAATAATAAAAATCAGAGCAGAAATAAACAACATAGAGACACACAAAAAATACAATCAATAAAACTAAGAGCTGGTTCTTTGAAAGGATAAACAAAATCGATGAACTTCTAGCCAGGCTCACCAAGAAACAAAGAGAGAGGACCCAAATAAACAAAATCAGAAATGAACTAGGTGAACTAACAACACACCCCACAGATATACAAAGGATTGTAAAAATAATAATAATAATACTTTATGCCGAAACCGGTTTGGCTCAGTGGATAGAGCGTCAGCATGCAGACTGAAAGGTCCCAGGTTTGATTCCAGTCAAGGGCACGTACCTTGGATGCGGGCACATCCCCAGTATGGGGTGTACAAGAGGCAGCTGATCGATGATTCTCTCTCATCGATGTTTCTAACTCTCTATCCCTTTCTCTTCCTCTCTATGAAAAATCAATAATATATATATTTTTTTTTTTAAAATACTATGAACAACTCTATTCCAACAAACTGGACAACCTAGACAAAATGGACACATTCTTAGAAAAATATTAGCTTTCAAAATTCAATCAGGAAGAATTAAAAAAAACTGAATAGGCTGATAACTATTAATGAAATTGAAACAGTAATAAAAAAAAATCTTCCAGCAAATAAAACCCTAGTCCGAATAGCTTCAGAAGGGAGTTCTAGCAAACATTCAGAGAATAACTAAAATCTATCCTCCTCAGACTATTCCAAAAAATTCAAGAGAAAGGCACACTTCGAAGCTCTTTCTATGAAACCAGCTTTACCCTAGTTTCAAAACCAGATAAAGACACCACAAAGAAAGAGAACTCAGGCCAATATCCCTCATGAACATAGATGCTAAAATCCTCAACAAAATTCTAGCAAATCAGGTCCAGCATTACATTAGAAAATTCATACACCATGACCAAGTGGGATTTATTCTGGGGATACCAGGAAGGTACAATATCTGCAAATCAATAAATGTGATAAATCACATAAACAAATTGAGAGACAAAAATCACATAATCATATCAATTATTGCAGAAAAATTAGACAATATTAAACACCTTTTCTTGATTAAAAAAAAAAAAACTCTCAGCAAAGTGGGAATAGAGAGATCATATCTCAACATTATAAAAGCCTTATATGACAAACCTACAGCCAACATCATACTCAATGGACAAAAACTAAAACCATTTCCCCTAAGAACATGAACAAGACAGGGTTGCCCACTTTCACCACTCCTGTTCGATATAGTACTGGAACTGCTAGCCATAGTAATCAGACAAAAAGAAAAAGCATCCAAATTGGAAAAGAAGATGTAAAACTGTCATTATTCACAGACGGCATAATATTGTACCTAGAAAACCCAAAGACTCCATCAAAAAACTATTAGACTTAATCAATGAATTGAGCAATGTACAAAATTAACACCCAGAAATTTATGGCTTTTTTATACACCAATAATGAACTCACAGAAAGAGAAACTAAAAAATAAAAATAATCCCATTTACCACTGCAACAAAAAAATTAAAATACCTAGGAATAAATTTAAATAAGGAGGTAAAAGACCTGTACTCAGAAAACTACAGGACATTAAAAAGAGAGATAGAGGAAGACATAAACAAATAGAAGAACATACCATGTTCATGGATTGATAGAATTAACATCATCAAAATGTCCATACTACCCAAAGCAATTTAGAGGTTTAATGCACTCCCATTAAAATACCCCCATTAAAATATCATTAACTCCCCCATTAAAATACTATTGGCATATTTCACAAACCTAGAACAAACTCTCCAAAAATTCATCTGGAATAAAAAAATAAAAAAGACCTCGAATAGCCAAACAAAGAAGGCAAAAGCATATAATGGAGTCAAGACAGTAATACTTTTAAAATATTTTAAAAATTCAGTATAGCTAAGTCCCAGGTACTCGGTGCGATATACTTCCATTTAAATTTTTATTTATTTATCTGAAATTCAGATTTTATTGGGTGCTCTGTATTTTATCTGGCAACCCTCTCTCAGACGTGTGTTTCGAATGCACACAGCCAACGATGGGGCAGCTAAAGCCCCTTGGCTGCACGTTCACGACCCCCTCTCCCACCCCGGCCCCCACACCTGGCAGGGGCCTTACTAGTACTTTCTCCCAGACACGGGGATCTTGGCACCTTCAGAGAAAAAAGGTCCATGCTTGTTTCCTTGGTTTTACTTTTCTCTCATCGCGTTTGCCGTTTCCATCGTGTCCCCTTTTCTTCACTTCATCCTTGACAGGACACTGTTCATAAGTGAATCGGGTTGTGAATCTGTCAACGCGACCGAATGGGCCTCCATGGAAATGGACGCCACCGCCGTTAATTGGCAAAACACTTTCTTCCAACGATCTCACGTGTTGCTCTTGGAGAGATACAGGAGCAGGCATTCCCAGCCCGTTTCCAGATGGGGAAACAGTAAGTGTTTTCATTCCTACCCTGGGATTTGGTTCACAAAACACCTCATTGTGGAGCGCAGGAGCTTCATAAACGGTGGTGGGATTTGCATGCTTGTTCGTGGCTTAGATCTCTAAAAGAGCCCAGAGAAGTGAGCAGGCATGGTAAAGCCCTTTTTACAGATGGGGAGACTGAGGCTCTCAGAGTCTCAGCAGGTTTTCCAGAACCACTCACTGGCAAGTGGCAGAGCTGGGATCTGAAAATCAAGCTGGAGTCTATAGTGCCTACTTCATTGCCCAACTAACAAATCTTTATTGAGCACCAATTACATAAGTGTTTGGAATGGCCAGTGGTTTTGAAAGGTCACAGAGCCTTCTCGCCTCCTCTCACTGGCTAGGAGAGCAGCTCTGAGGCTCCTATATCCAGGAGGGGGCTCCCTGCCCTCCCCCACCTTCTCCCACCCTGCTGCCCCATGGAACCCACTCACTTGGCAGCCCCAGCCTCTCTCACCACAATTCTCAAGATCATGATGATGCTAAGACTGTCATACGACTGGTAAGCAAGTAGCTCTGGTAAGCTTTAGTGTGGTTCACCAAACATTTTTAGTTCTTTTCTCCTCCAGACACAAGATAGAATTGCACATGGTTGGGTGGGACCATGTGACCAGATCTGGCCAATGAGTATGAGCAGAAGTGACAGGCATCTTTTCTGAGCCAGAGCCCTTCATTATCAAAGCAAGACTGTCTAGAACCGTTGCCACGTTTCCCTGGCGTGTCAGCTCACCAGTGGCTGCGTTATAAATTAACCAGCTATACCCAAAGAGCAGCTGGTCGGTCCCTGCCTCACTACCCTGAGCTGATCTGCTGGCAGCTCCCAGGCAATGCCCATCATGAATGAGAATTGAATCCTGTGGTTGGAAGTCAGTGAGCTGTTAAGGGTTATTTTTTTTTACTGCAACGAGTAGCCTAGATGGGGTAGCCCTTTTGCAAAAGGAATCTGTCTTCAGCTGGGAGCTGGAAGATGGACAGGAAGGAACAATCCCTGCTGGGCGAGCCTTCAGTTCAGCAGAGCGAAGAGCCGGTGGTCAGCGGAATGGTGTGCTGTTCCCGTCACTCAGTGGCGGGAAGCCGATGTTAACCGCAGAGTTCTCACAATTAATTCAAATCTGTCTTTTGAATAAGCTTTATCTATAGCCGGCTAATTTATAACGCAGCCACCTGAGACAGCCTCACACCCGCGAGCATTTTAACTGAGAACCCACATGCACACCAATAATTTCAAAGATGTCACAGTGACCCCTCGCTGGTTCGGCTCAGTGGATGGAGCATTGGCCTATGGACTCAAGGGTCCTAGGTTCGATTCCTGTCAAGGGCATATGCCAGGATTGTGGACTCGATCCCCAGTAGGGGGAGTGCAGGAGGCAGCCAATCAAAGATTCTCTCTCATCGTTGATGTTTCTAGCTCCCTCTCCCTCTCCCTTTCTCTCTGAGATATATATATATATATATATATATATATATATATATATATATATATATATATTTATTTTTTTTTTAAAGATGTTACAGTGAGTGAGCCTTTCCATTTCTGATAGTATGCCGTACAACTTCCTCCCAGACAACAAAACCTCTGCAAACACACCTTTTATCCCAGGTCCTGGAAACCACTGACCTCCGTGTTGCCGAGCCACCCCCACGCACACTGCTGCTACAGGATGACACATCGCTCAGCCTGCAGGCGGCAGCGACAGCCCAGTCTGCATGCGGCTGTGGGTGAAAGGGGAGGCAGGGCCCCTCTTCCCCGCTGCACAGCGCCAGGGGTGAGGATCCGGGCCCAGCACAGAGGAGCAGCCGGCACACCTGGCTCTGCCCACCCCTTCCAACATGGCCAGTGCCTGGTGCTCTCGTTCCCTCCACCATCCTCTCACATGCGCCTCCTGTGCCGCCAGCAGAGGGAGGCTGGCCCAGCAGGCCCCAATCTCCGGTGGGATCAGCCTCAGGCAGCAGGAGGGCAACAGCGCTCCTGGGCACTCACTCACCCGCCCTGTTTCCTGCTCCAGCCCAGGGCACAGCAGAGGGTGGCAGCAGGCTCAGCCACAGTGGCACAGTGGCCACCGGCCACCGCATGGACCACAGGAACCCCACAGAGTCATCCAGAGACCACTCCCCCCCCGCTCCGTGCACGTCACCACCAATCCTGCAGCCGGCAGTGGCCCCCCTCCACGGGCACCCGGAGCCCCTTCGCACGGACTGGGAACTGCCGGCCTCACCTGGATAATAATCCCCTTCTCCTTGTACTCCTCCTGCAGGGCCTTGGAAAAGGTGCACACAAAAGCCTGGAGCGAGAAGGAGAAACACATCAGGGCCCGGAGCTCGCTTTCTCCGTCAGAACCAGCTTCCGCAGATCCCAGAGGGCCCCGCCGGAGCCCGCCACGTGGTCTCAAAACGTGGCTGCCTCTCTGATGCCAGTTAGGACGTCATTTCTTGGTCTGAGAAGAGATCCCCCAGTGAACGGGAACCTACAGGTGTACCTCGGGCCACTGCACATAAATGACCCAACAGGGGGTGCTGTCCTTGTGCAGAGCACCCTCTCCTCCCCCTGTCCAGACTTTGTTTTTAAGAGGAGGGCACAGGGACGCCCGGCAGGGAGGAGACCACAGTGGACAGCAATGCTCCCAGGCAAGAAGGTGAGAGCTGGGGGCGGGGCTGCACCTGTTTCCCTCTCCTCCCTCCCCACCCCCCACCCCAGCCCCCGTGCTGCTTCAGGCTGTGCCTTCCTCTAATTTGCACCCCAACCCCTGCTGACTAGCTCGGTCCTGGACACAGGAGAGCGCCTCCCTGTGATCTGTCCATGGGCTGGCCAGATGGTCCAAAGGAAAACGGCAACCGGGACGACAGGGGAGGGAGGAGGAGCCTGGAACGCCATGCTCTCTACCGCTCACCTTGGAAGCCGAGTACATGGAGTAGAGAGGCCAGGGAAAGAGGGCCACCCCGGAAGAAATGTTCAGGACGAGCCCTTTCCTCCTAAAAGGCAAAGGAGCTACGTTTCAGGGGCTGTGCCGGCAGGAGGGTGGGCACAGGTGCTCAGGGCCGTCTGCCCATGAAGACGACCCACAAGGCAGAGGCCGTCAGTCTCGGGTGGAACTGGGTGGCCGACCATCTGCACACACAGGCACCCTCACAGGGCTCAGGCTCCTAATTACCCTTTGGAAATGTAATCTCTTTAACCCACCCCAACGAGGCGGGTTCAATTCAGAAAATCCAGGAAACTGCACATTCGAGAGCCAGGGCATTCCTCGAGGGAGGACAAAGCCATCGGCCACTGGCCGTTCATGAGCCCGGCCCGGCTGTGTGACCGGGTGACAGACGTGGAATACAGGGAGGCGCTGATGGGGTACTGATTTTCGCCCCTGAATTGGAGTATTCGTTCTGACAGGAGCTGAAATTCGTAATGACGAAGAGGTGGTCCTGGTCTCAGGCCAACTTCTGAAGGTTCTTTTAGGCTCAACGGAAGTTAAATTTTTAGTACAATGTGTGCTGAATCCGCTGTTCTCCGCCTCCCTCCAGTACATGTTACACTTGACCTTGTGTTTTTGCAAAGTGCCCGGGGCAGAATGTTATCTCCTCTGTAATGCCCATGTCCTCTCTTCATAGTTAAAGCAGCAGCTAGAGGCGCCCCAGCCCCGGCCTCCACACCCGCCGTGCGCTCCACGCTGTTCCAGAGGAAGGCCTTACCTCGCCTCCATGTGTTTCAGAATGAGCTGGGTCATCTACAAGAGAAGGTCAGAGTTAAGCCTTGACAAAGAAACTAAAGAGCAATGGGCGGTGCAACTTGGGGGAGCGGGTGTGGGAGGAAGCCGGGGAACTGCCTAATCTCAGGTGGCCACCCGCATCGCAGGTCATTCTGGCGACTCGGGTCTGGCGGAGACCAAGGACACAACCCAGACACGTGGCCAACTGCTCAGAGGCCTCTGCTTTCTCCTCCTGAAGCTCAAGCCTTTCTGCAAAATGAGGGCAGTGAAAAATGGTGGAAATCGCCCTGGAGTGGGGTCAGCACTGAGGTTCCCGGATACTCTCTCCCCAGGAGACAGGCAAGCAGAGGCTGCTCGTCACAAGCCTCAGCATGAGTGAGGACCGGGGGCCGTCAGGACATCACAGGAGCCCATGAGCATCACAAATACCAGGGATGAGATGGAGGACACCTGTCCATCCAACAGCGGCCGCATAAGCAACCTGCAAGCGGTCTGTGATAGCTCCCCAGACAGACATGTCTGTCTGTCTGTCTGTCGGAATTACAACTGTGTTGGGAAGTCCCTTCCCCTCCCAACCTTCTGCCCAAAAGAGGTCTTTTCTGCAACTTCTGGAGCTTAGACATCTCATTAAAGAGCTTTTCACACCGTAATTGCAAGGCACACATTTTAAGAATTAAGGAGGAGGCAACTGTGTGGACTAACGTGTTCTCAAAAGTACATCGGAGTGGGCTGGGCCCTGTCCAGGGAGCAGGTTTGAGACAGAGAGGAGTCAAACGGGTGGGTGAGGCAGAGAAATCAAAAGGCCTGGAGCCAGCTGAGACCGGTTTGGCTCAGTGGATAAAGCGTTGGCCTGCGGACTGAAAGGTCCCGGGTTCGATTCCGGTCAAGGGCATGTATCTTGGTTGCGGGCACATCCCCGGTAGGGGGTGTGCAAGAGGCAGCTGATCAATGATTCTCTCTCATCGATGTTTCTAACTCTCTATCCCTCTCTCTTCTTCTCTGTAAAATATCAATAAAATATATTTAAAAAAAAAAAAAAAAAAAAAAAAAGGCCTGGAGCCAGGAGACCAGCTCTGCCAGCACGTGGCCTGGAGCCCGGGAGCTCCTAGGGGGCTCCGTCCCTGCCACACCCCCATCTGCAGGGCCTCCAGAGCGTGGTGGGGGGTGGTCCCCAGAACCCACAGGACTGCCTCCTGGAACCCTGGACTCGAAGGGAGGTGAGGAAAAGATGCGGGCTGCATTGTTGTCACCAATCCTTGGCTTTCTTTACTCCACTGAGGAGCACACCAGCATGTCCTCAAAGCCTCCCAGATGAATTCTCTAGCCCGTGGTCGGCAAACCGCGGCTTGTGAGCCACATGCAGCTGTCTGGCCCCTGGAGTGTGGCTCTTCCGCAAAATACCATGTGCGGGTGCGCACGTACAGTGCGACTGAAACTTCGTGGCCCATGTGCAGAAGTCGGTTTTTGGCTCAAAAGAAATTTCCATCGTTGTGCTGTTGATATTTGGCTCTGTTGACTAATGAGTTTGCCGACCACTGCTCTAGCCTCACTGGGGGAGGAATCCCAGTTAGAGAGAGGACATCGGGTTTGTGAATCTCTCTCACAAAGCTCCCAAAATATTGTCTCTGATCTCGCCTTCCTTTTGCCCGAAAACTCATCTCCCATCGCCGCCCTTGACAGGGGTCTCTACTATTTCCAGATGGCTCCGTAGATACTTGTCCTGCCTCCCACCAGCATGGACAACTGGGGTGGCATGCTTACAAGCTATCCTTCTGTGTGTGTTTTCTCTGTTATTTAGAGAAGTTAGTGTCTGACAATATATAAAATAATTTTCTAGCAAATCAAAGCATTCCTCGGCTAAAGGAGTCAGGGTTATCAAATGTATCTGGGAAGCTCTGTGATCACAAGGACCAAGAGTGCGAGAACCACTCACAATAACGTGAAAGATTTCAGTGACGAGGCTACCGACAACAGTTGGAAATATAAAACTTACAATTATAATAGCTGGGAGTTTGAAAAGCTATTGATTGCTCAGCCTAAAAGAATATGTGTGCCAATCAACACTGGGCAGACTATGTAAAATACCACTATGCCTACAGAAAAACAAAAACCACTGGTAAGCCGAAACCGGTTTGGCTCAATGGATTGAGCGTCGGCATGCAGACTGAAAGGTTTATATATTGTCGATTCCAGTCAAGGGCATGTACCTTGGTTGCGGGCACATCCCCAGTAGGGGGTATGCAAGAGGCAGGTGGTGGATGATTCTCTCTCATCGATGTTTCTAACTCTCTGTCCCTCTCCCCTCTCTCTTCCTCTCTGTAAAAAAATCAATAAAATTAAAATTAAAATAAAAACCACTTGTAAAGACAGTTATTGTCAGCCCAACTTATCCACCTGTAAAACATCTTTTGTTTTTTGCTCTACTCAGCACCCATCTCCTCTCCTTAGGTCGAGAGCAGCTGATTCTCCTTTGGAAAGGCCGTCCTCCACGGCCAGTCCACGTTTTCAAGATGAGACTGAGCCTCCTGCTGCTCCCCAACCGGCATCCGGACCCAGGAAGCCAGGGGGCACACTGGCTCACTGCTGTCGTTCCATGGGGCCTGAGGAATGGCCACAGGGTGCCAGGAGCAGCTGTGAATTCTGGGACCTGAGCCAGGGGCCTGCGTTTAGTGGGGGCTCAGAGCCCAGGGTTCACTCACAAGCCATTTAGAGGCTTCCTGTCACTCAGAGGAAAGGAAACAACGTTCACACAAAGTGCCATCTGCTCACCAGGCAGTGGCTGGTCTGCTCCTAAGCAGCACCTTTGCCCTGGCTGCTGCCCAGAGGGCGTCTGCTCCCCGCTCTGTCCAGGGCACAGTCAGGGCAGCTCTGTGGCTGTCGTGCCTGCAGGTGCTTGTCTGAACAGCACCTGGCCCGATGCAGTACCACACTTTTCTGGCAGATGAGGAGTCTGAGATTCCAAGGAGTCAGGCAGCATGCCCCACGCTGCCCACCAACGAGAGGCTGAGCTGGAGTCAGAAATACATGAATTCCGACTCGGCAAGGACTTACGGAACAAGAGTCCATAAAAACTATGACCTGTGTCCTTTTTTTTCAAATAGAGCGGCTTTCCCTCTATTTATTAGAATAAAATCAGAGGAAGGGATTGAATTTTTTTTTTTTTTTAAATCACCTTGGAATCCAGAATCAGCTTCAGAATCGCTGGGTCTAATATGTTCTGGCATGTGGCAAAATGGAAGGCAGAAACAGGCCTCACACGTGAGGCAGAAAAAATCCCTCACTGCACTTGAGGAAAACAGAAGGAGACAGCTAAAAGGCCACTCCATTGCCAAAACCGGTTTGGTTCAATGGATAGAGCGTCAGCCTGCGGACTGAAAGGTCCCGGGTTCAATCCAAGTCAAGGGCATGTATCTGGGTTGCGGGCACATCCCCAGTAGGAGGTGTGCAAGAGGCAGCTGGTCGATGTTTCTCTCTCATCGATGTTTCTAACTCTCTGCCCCTCTCCTTTCCTCTCTGTAAAAAATAAAATTAAATTAAATTAAATTTAAAAATAAATAAATAAACAAACAAATAAAAGTAAAAAGCCACTCCACGGCTGCACAGTCAAGTGCAGTTCAACCTCAGAGACTCTCCTTCCACAGGGAAAAGGCCAAGAGTCCCAAGTTGCCACAGGTTGGCAGCTGCTCCATGTTAATGCTCTCAGCACACACACTGATCACATACCTTCACTACCGAGGTGATGTTGCAATGGACGAGGCTCTGTAATAAATAACCATAACCACAAATCAGCTGAGACATTCTCTGGAAATGCAGTCGATGCTAAAGAAACATAAAGTGGGTGAAGGCACGTGTCTGAGCTGTTCCCTCACTCACTCCGCTGGCAAATTCAGCTCCTAATGGATGTTCAGCAGCATGCACTAGGGCTGGGAAACACCTGATGTCCCACTGTGTTTCTGGACAGTGTGATCCTGAATAGAAGTTACAGAGTTTGCTCGAAAAATGTAAAGAGGAATGTGGACACAGCTTTTTCAGGGGAGATGGTTAATTTCCAGCTGGAGGAAGACGGTGGCATGCGTGGGCCTAAAGGACAGCAGCAGAGAGAACAGAAAGGCCAGTGGCTATATGATAAGGCAGAGGCTCTGGGCTACAGAGGCCAGAGAAAGGAACCAGTAGAGTCTCCCAAGATAGACAGAGAGGGAAGGGGGGAGACACAGAAATGGGAACAAGCACAGATATGAATAGAGGAAGCAGCAAGAATGGCATCTGCAAGAGAAACCAAGATGGCGGCATAGAGTAGACACCTGAATGCAGCCTACCACAACAATTTTAAATTTAGAACTGGAAAACAGGGGAGGCATTGCCCTGAAGCACCAGACAGCTGGCTGAGAGGAGGCTCTGCCATCTGGGAAGGAAAGAGAAGGTGCACTGAACCTCAGAAACTGTGAAGGTGCGGAGAACTGTGTGGCAGCCGAGTTCACTACTGGCTTACTCCAGGCACACAGAGAGGGTGGACAGCTAATGTGCGGCTGGCTTTCTTGTTCCAAAGGAAAACAGAATCACTCTATTGCTCTGATAGATGGCCCCAGTCAGGGAGAGGCCAGACTGTCAGGCAACAGGCAGAGATCTCTCAAAGGTGTGTGAAGCTAGTGGCCATTACTGCGGGACTCAGGGAGGGGCCTACAGGAAACCAAAGCTTGTCTGCACCACCCCCAGACTCCGCCCCATCCAAGCTGAGCACAGAAGCTCTCCCAGAGGCTGGCTTTCTCTAAGGAAGGACTGACAAGAATCCAAAGTTTGTCTGTGCCTTTACCAAAGAGGTGTGCGCACCTACAACCAATCTTGTGAGACTCACCACAAACAGGACTTTCCTAAGGCGAGACTGACAGGGAACCAAAGCTTGTCTGCACCACCCTGAGACTCCGCCCCATCCAAGCGAAGTACAGAAGCCCTCCTAGCTGAGACACTGCTGATCCTCACAGTCAATTAGCTTGGAGATCAATGCTTCCCAGTGATACCAACAATAAGCAAGGCTTAACAACAAGACTGCACACACAGCCCACAAAGGCTACACCAAGACTGTCCACCACAGGTAACTGGAAAGGCTGTGCTACTGGGCTCTACCAGAACACCTAGCACATAAAGCTATTCCATCAAATCAGGGAAACAACTAAAATGCAGAGAAGAGGGAGGACACAAAGGAAGAAGATGGAGGAAAAGAAAAGAATGGACATTGAGTTCAAAACTACAGTTATAAGGTTTTTCAAGAATTTCCTAAAAAAAGGCCAATAAAATAAATGAGACCTATGAGAATATGAAAAGGGATCAACTAGAAATAAAAAGGGATCAACTAGAAATAAAAAATACATTGTCTGAAATAAAAAATATAATACAGAGTCCTAAAAACATCCTGAAAGATTACAAGAATCAAGACAAAGATTTAGAACACAAAGAGCCACAGGACACTCCTCTGCAGAAGCAAGAAGAGAATCCAGAAAGTTGAAGATAGTGTAAGAAAACTCTGGGACAATTTCAAGTGCACCAACATCAGAATTATGGGGGTCCCAGAAGAAGAGAGAGAGCAAGATACCAAAAACATATTGGAAGAAATAGTGAAAGAAAACTTCCCCCACTTACAAGTCCAGGAAGCGCACAGAACCCCAAACAAAAGGAACCCAAAGAGGACCACACCAAGACACATAATAATTAAAATTCCAAGAGCAAAAGATAAAAGGAGAATATTAAAAGCAGCAAGAGAAGAGCAGGTAGTTACCTATAAAGAAGCACCCATATGATTGTCAGCTGATTTCTCAACAGAAACCATGCAGGCCAGACAGGATTGGCAAGAAATATTCAAGGTGACGAAAAGCAAGAACCTACAGCCAAAAATACTCTACCCTGCAAAGCTATCACTCAGAATCAAAAGCCAGATAAAGAGCTTCACAAATAAAAAAAAGCTAAAGGAGTTCATCACAGCCAAACCAGAATTATATGAATTGCTGAAGGGGGTTCTTTAGGAAGAGGAAGAAGATAAAGATAAAAATTATGAACAACAAATATGTAACTATCAACAAGTGAAACTAAAAACCAAGGGAATTAAAAAATCTGATGAACAATGTTAACTGGTGAATATAATAGAATCAGAGGTATGGAAGGGGAGTGGACTGACGATGTGGGGAAAATTGGAGTATAATTTATGGCTGTGATTGCAAGTAGAAGAAGCTTTTTGGTTTTGCCTTTCAGCTAATAAAATTTGTGCGAGAAGAGACTGAACATAAACTGTGCACCTATGGATGAGGATAATGGGAGGTGGGGAAAGGGTAGAGGGTGGGATGGGAACCTGGTGGAGGGGAGCAATGGAGGGGGGCGGGGAAAGAGGAACACATTTATAATAATCTGAACAATAAAGATTTATTTTTTTAAAAAAAGGGAAAAAAAAGAATGACATCTGCTTGAAGGAGAGGCAGGGGCATGGCAAGGATGTGCAGCTACATCCAAGCAGTGGGCACTCTGCCCTGGGCAGTAGACTGGGGCTCACATGGGACCGTGGGAACACCTGCACACACGGGGACTGGGAGCACGGCGGCCTGTTCAGAAGAGATATAACCCCGTGACCTCACAGGTCAGAGCCTGGGAAGACGTGACAAGGAGTACCTTCCTTGTCACAATGCACAACAAATTCACCCGTGGCCGGCAATGGCGGCCATGGGCCTAAGCCACGCTTGCTGAACTTACAATCAATACCTCACCACAGAGTTTGTATCACTCAGTTCCCTCACGCTGTAAGCTGAACAAATTTTATTAGCTGAAAGACAAAACCAAAGAGCTTCTCCCACTTGCAATCACAGCCATAAATTTTTCAGGCAGGGGTACCCCTTATACAGCACAGAACAGAGCCCCCCAAAGACTAGAGCAGCAGCAGGCAGGTGTTGATGTGCGGAGGAGGGGAGAGGTGATCTTATCTTAGAAATGGCCGTGTACAATGATGCCCTGCTGTGGACCAAGTACTAAGATGAGAAGAAAGAAAAACCTCCAGACACCCTCTAGGGTACAGAACTCTGTCCAGACACCCTCCCCGGGCCCTGCTGAGAGGACGCCACCCAGAAAGCACAGATATACCTGGATGTCGTCTGGTGTGTTAAGGAAATGGCTCGGGAGAAGGCTAGGGATCATTCCAACATTGTTGACTGCCGGGGGAGACAAAACAAAAAGATGTCAGAAGAGCCAGTGGCAAATGTTTATTGAAAACCTTAGAAACAGTTATATTCAACCCAGAAACTCTTCTCTTGGAAAGAGTTTTTAAGAAAATACTTTCATGCCTGGCTGGCGTGACTCAGTGATTGAGCGCTTGACCTATGAACCCGGAGGTCATGGATTGATTCCCAGACAGGGCACTTGCCCAGGTTGCAGGTTCCATCCCCAGTAGGGAGCATACAGGAGGCAGCCGATCAATAATTCTCTCTCATCATGAATGTTTCTCTCTCTCTCTCCCTCTTCTTTCCTCTTTGGGGGAAAAAAAAATTTAAAAAAAGAAAACACCTTCAACAAGGTTGATACACGAGGTCATTCACTGTAACATGATTTGATCACACCGGAAACGTTGGAGGGAAGGGACGGGGGTCCAGGGATCAAAGCACATGCAGTGCATGAGGTGAGCCCCAGCTGGGGTGCAGGGCAGCCCCTCACAAGCAGCTTTAAGGCAGGGGAAGTGTGTGTAATGAGTGGCTTTTAAATATATATTCTATTGATTTTTTACAGAGAGGAAGAGAGAGGGATAGAGAGTTAGAAACATCGATGAGAGAGAATCATCAATCAGCTGCCTCTTGCACACCCCCTACTGGGGATGTGCCCGCAACCAAGGTACATGCCCTTGCCGGGAATCAAACCCAGGACCTTTTACCGACGCTCTATCCACTGAGCCAAACCGGTCCCGGCTAATGAGCGGCTTTTAAAAATGCACAGAACACAGACGGGATAGATGGTGATGGAAAGAACAAAATTTAGAGTAAAAAATATGTAAATAAATATGTGTAAACATATAAGATCCATGTAGACATAGGAAAATATGTATCTAGAAGGATATGCACCAAAATGTTCTTTCGGCCATCAGGATTTTTTTTTAAATTTATAATTCTTTTATGTGCTTCTCTACTCTTTCCAGTTTTTCTGCATCGATATGTTTTTTATTTTTATTAGTTAAAAAATTAGTAATTATTTTATTAATTCAGCAAGAAGTTTAGAAATCAAACCTTCCTTCTATGTACAGTACAGACATTGTGCTGTGTACCTAGTGATGAAACAGAGTGTTTATAACCATCACAGACAAGACATCAGTTGGGTCCTGAATAAGGCAGTCAATTCACAAGTACGCACACTGCGCTGCCATTTCATGGGTCAACCACAGCCACGTTTGTGGGGTAAATGTGTTCCTCAAGGTGAGTGTTTCTGAGATTTCCTCTTCCTGCCGAGTGGCAGTATCCGTGAGAGAAAACACATCCTGTCTAACATCAGGAAAGACGGTCAGGAAGGTCTGACACATTCCAAAGCTATGTATAAATCTGTTCATCAGGCAACGCCTCTTGAAGAACTGAACTTTATGTTCCTTAATGCTACAGCTCAGAACACCGCCATGGGTTAAGCTTAGGCCACCGTGGGATGATCAAGGGTCAGTAAGGTAATCATTGCACCGATGTATTACAACAAGCTTTGAGCATCGCAATTTACTTACCTAAAATCCCAATCTCTAAGCCTTTGAGTTCTTCTTCAATACCCTCATAGATGTCGTCCTTGGTGAAATCTGCTTGGATCACCTTCACGCTCCTCCCTGTAGTGCGCTCTGCATTCGAGACAATGTTATTCTTCAATGACCAGGAGCCCGGAGCCCCTCTGGCCTGTGGAGCCCCCCAGCGCTCCCACCCGGCCTGGGCGGCGCTGCTGAGCACATGCCCCTCACCCCCTTACAGACAGGAAGCAGCCCGGGTGAAGCTGGCGTGTGCCGGATGTGTGAGTCTGAGAGCTACCACAGCACAATGCAGGCATTAGATTTAACGCAGTGATTCTCAAAGTGGGGTCCCTGGAACACAGCATCGGCATCACCGGCAGATGGTTAGAAACGGGAAACCTCGGGCTCCCCCCGAGACCTGGCGAGCCAGGCACCCCTGGGGGCCCGTGGTCTGGGAGGCCCGCTGACTGCTCAGGCTCTGATGCCAGCCCTGGCTGAGGGCTGCAGAGCAGTGTGCGCTGCCGGTGCTGCATCTGGTCCCTCCGCAGAGACACGGCTGCCCTCTGCATCTTAAAGCATTTACCTGCGAGATATCCTATTTTAGTCCTCTCTCTGACCATGTCTGCTTTTTCCAGAGGAGAAACCAGCGAAGACCCCAATGCTTTGCCGGAGGCACCCACACTGCTCCGGGCCAGACCCCTCCACTCTCCCACGGGAACCAGCCTCCGGCTGTGAACCTGCCTGCAAGGAGCTCAGCCAGATGTGCAAGCAGCACAGATGTCACCAGCTGCCCCTGCTCCGCGCTGGAGCCAGTCCCACAATTTCAGAGGCAAGTGCAGGTGAGGCATAGTTTGGGGGTGGGGTGCTTTCAGACGGAAGACACCACCTGCTTTTTAAGAGGCCGGTAGAAAGCGCACTTGAACGCTGGGAGGGGAGCACTGAAGAACACTGAGTCCCGGTCAGAGTCACCGCTGATATCCAGACACGGACTGCACCGACCAAGGGCACTGAGCCCCGGTCCGCCTCCTCACCCTGACGCCCAGGACACACTGTCCCCCAGGCTGCCTGCCGCCGTGGTTTCCCCAAGTCTTCCTCATTAACAGCCTATCTTTTTGAGTTAAGATGTTTATTAATTACTAAATTAATAATTGATCATTAAAATGCAAATCCCAGAAAGGGATGTTGTGCTCCTTATTAACTAAGGACACGTCAGAGGAGCCATGGTAGTGAGTGCGGCCTCCTGGGGTGTGTAGCCCCGCACCGAGTCCTTATTTAACTCTGACTGTCACCACGAAGCGTCCCCTCCCCTTCCTGCAAGGAGCAGGGCATTGACACCTGGAAGGGAAGCCCCAAAGGAGGAGCAAAGCAACCAGGAAGCTGGGCCTCTGGATGGGGAGGTCTAATTCTAGAGATGAGGACTGAGGACCAGAGAAGAGAGAAGACTTACTTGTGCTGCATCTGATCCTGCCTCGCCCACCAGAGGTTCAGTAGTGAACGAAAGTGCCCCCTTAGCAGCCTGCACACAGCTTCCCCCTAACAACCTGCACACAGCCTCCCCCAACAGCCTGCTCACAGCTTCCCTCTAACAACCTGCACACAGCCTCTCCCTAACAGCCTGCACACAGCCTCCTCCTAACAGCCTGTACACAGCTTCCCCCTAACAGCCTGCACACAGCTTCCCCCTAACAGCCTGCACACAGCTTCCCCCTAACAGCCTGCACACAGCCTCCCCCTAACAGCCTGCACACAGCCTCCCCCTAACAGCCTGCACACAGCCTCCCCCTAACAGCCTGCACACAGCCTCCCCTAACAGCCTGCACACAGCCTCCCCCTAACAGCCTGCTCACAGCCTGCACACAGCTTCCCCCTAACAAACTGCACACAGCCTCCCCCTAACAGCCTGCTCACAGCCTCCTCCTAACAGCCTGCACACAGCCTCCCCCTAACAGCCTGCACACAGCCTCCCCCTAACAGCCTGCTCACAGCCTGCACACAGCTTCCCCCTAACCGCCTGCACACAGCTTCCCCCTAACAGCTTGCACACAGCCTCCCCCTAACAGCCTGCACACAGCCTCCCCCTAACAGCCTGCACACAGCCTCCCCTTAACAGCCTGCACACAGCCTCCCCCTAACAGCCTGGGTACAGCTTTGTAAACTGAGCTCCCACAGAAGGGCCTGCCCCAGGCTCCAGGGAGCAGGTACAGGGTTGCTGGTGGAGTCTCTGCAGGCAGGACCAGAGCTGACCTGGCCACGGGGCTCCACAGACACTTCCCTCACTCCTTGGGCCACTCACCAATCTCCACGGCAATAGCCTGTAGTTTTCCCAGCGTCCGGCTGATCAGCACAACATTGAGGCCTTGTCTTGCCAGCTGGGATGGGAAAACCAAGAGACCAGGACAATCAGCAGACAGGAAGGCTTGATTAAAGGTGAATTGGGGCATCGCTAGGCGAGGTGCTTGCTTTTCCTGGGTTTAAATGTGCAGACATTTCTGGGCTATGAGCAAAACCGCCGCCCTGGGCCAGGCTAAACGTGGCATAATCCTGCGTGTGTTTGTGGCACGCAAGGAACTAGTCCACTTTCCCTTTTGTACAGACGCACGGCCTGGCGCCCCCTCGTCGGGACTGCTTGAGCGCAGATGGGTGCTGGATATCGGGTGTGGAGGACCCTATCCTATAAGTCACATGCCAGGCCCCGGCCAGCACGGCTCCACGAAGACCCGATTCCAGCAGCATCTTCTGAGCTGCTTCCTGCTCCCAAGGACCTCCTTGCGGTTCACTTTACACAGACACGCTCATGCCCTGCGCCCTTCCGCCTGCTCTCTGGCTCCCAGCTGGAGCGTGAGGGCATGCTTCCCTGAGGTCCGCAAGGAATTCTCTTCGGAAGAGATACTGCCCCGACCCCTGGGGGCCGAGGGTCACGGGATGGGAATGGCTTGCATTAACGTGGGCCTGGCACCAAGCAATGCCACACGCGAGGAAAATTAGAGCTTTGTCTGAAGACAGAAGGAAAACGAATGATCGTGCAAACAGACTGATGAGTTAGCGACAAAGGACCCAACTCATTAGAATCTTTCTCTGTGGTTTTAAGCATGTGGTTTCTACTGTTACTTTTCAAATTGTGGGAAATTACACTGAAAGGAGTTCTGGGGACACAGTAGGCAGAATTAGGGGATACAGAAGGTCCGTGGGGGAGGAATGCAGATGGGAAGGATGAGCGATTAAAGCAATGTAAGGTAGATCAAAAGCAGCCCTGACCTGAGCAGCATGGAGCTGCCAAAATGCTTACCTTTAGTATAAAAAGGACAGAAAAATGCCGCAGGATAAAGAGGGAGGAAGACATATTCACTGAGGATATAGAAAAGTCATAGGATAATGGAAAGAAGGAAACATATTTTCACAGAGAATAGAGGAATGTTACAAGATAAGGGGAGAGGAAGAGGGGGCACCAGTGGGCTTTGGCCTTTGAAGCTGATACTGTGTAACAAAATCACCAATGAGGAAAGCACGGGGGCCCTAAATTAATGAAAGGCCCAACTATAAAGGGTCAGGTTCAAAGAACCGCAACATTTATAAACCGGAGACAAAGGGACAGGAGGAGGGATTTATTTTTTTTAAAAGAGAGAGAAAGCACAGACTTTTCAATTTGGGGGTCCTTCCCCAGGGGTTCCCTTTTGGGACACCTCTGCCCAGATAGAGTTTGAAAATGCTTCCAATAAACTTCTACATTTTTATTAAAGAAATCCATTAGTCTATGAATTTTTTTTTTCATCTTCGTCAGACAAGACAAAATGTTCCATGTTGACAAAGGTCTGGGATGTTTCATGAATTTGCATGTCACCCTTGCACAGGCCAGGCTCATCTTCTCTGTATCATCCCGGTTTTAGTTTGTATGTGGTCAAAGCAAGCGAGCCCTAGGCCAGCATTTCAATGAGGAACCACATGTTATAGGAAACATAAGAAGCTGAATTAAAGACTATACTATAGGGTCTACAATAACCAATAATTCCATTTTCAAGCCAATGGTCTCAGAATGACCCAGGAAGATGACAAAAAAACACCATTTCCTACCAAAGCCATCCAAATAAAAATCTCTGGGGTGGAAGCCTCAGTGTTTACATATTTTTCTGATTCGATTTAGTGAGTCATACTATTGAATACACCAGTGCATTCTCATTGTAGAAGGCCTCCCTCAGGCCACCACAGGCTCTCCCTGCCTGGAGTTTGGCGTTGATCCTCCCTAACTTTAGCTCAGCATCTACACACACAGATAAGCACATACAGAAGCAAATGTGTATTGTGGGCTTTCTTTCTTTGCTCACTTTACAAATGGCTATCTTTTTAACATCATGTTGTGTCATCCCGGAGCATGGGACCTATTTCCACATCCATCCACACTGAGCCACTTGACCCTTTTTATTGCTTTCCAGTGCTTATAGTTCACATGGGTGAGCATGTAAGCTGTTGTCAAGTTTTCTTATTACCAATACTGCTGCAAAGAAAACCTTTCTATATGCTGGGACCGGTTTGGCTCAGTGGATAGAGCGTCGGCCTGCGGACTGAAAGGTCCCGGGTTCGATTCCAGTCAAGGGCATGTACCTTGGTTGCAGGCACATCCCCAGTAGGGGGTGTGCAATAGGCAGCTGATCGATGATTCTCTCTCATTGATGTTTCTAACTCTCTATCCTTCTCTCTTCTTCTCTGTGAGAAATCAATAAAATATATATTTAAAAAAAGAAAAAAAAACTTTCTATATAGCTCCTTGTATATACAAGTGAATTAATTCCTAGAGTAGATAGACAAGAAGTGGAATTGTTGTGTCAAAGGGTATATGCTTTTTAAATTTTAGTAGTATTACCCAAATGTCCTCTCTCCAAACTGTACCATCAAAAATACAATTATAGCTATTTCTTTACTCTCTGGCCAATAGTTTATATTAACAAACTTTTCAAAATTGTTTAATCTAGTGGTCAAAAAATATCCTTTAAGTGTTTTAATTTTAATTTTTCTAATTATAGTGGGACTGAGTATCTTTATGTATGTTTATGTGTGAGATACTAGTATATACCTTTTGACCATCCTTCTACTAGGTTTTAAACATTTTTTTTTTTACAACTTTGTATGAGGGTTTTTTTATATATATATATATATCCTGGGTAATAATTATTTGCCTACTGTATATGTAACAAGTGTTTCTCCTTTGATTATGGTGTCTTGGCATACATGATATGTTAAATTTAATATTATCAAGTTTGTGGCTATTTCCTTAAGTTTTTAAATTTTTTTCTTTATGATTTTTTTTAACTCAAGGATATAAGTATATTTTCCTACAACTCTTCATAGTTTGCTTGGATGTTGTCATTTATTTATTTATTTATTTATGTTACACAAATCAACCTACACGGCTGCTTTTTCTGTCATTTCTTTTTTAAATGGTGTGAGGTTGAAATCATCTAGCATTATTTTTTCAAAATGGGTGGATAATTGTCTCAACATTTTTTTATTTGTCCATTTTTTCCTGATTTGAATGCTAACTTAGTCACATGAAAAATTTTCATAAGTACATGGGTCTGTTTCTGGTCCATCTGTCCTGTTCATTAACCTGTTTATTATTTAAATAACAAGGCCACTGACGAAGAATCAGAGGAGCAGCAAAAGGCTGAGGTACAGAGACACACGCACAGGCAGCTGAGTAGCTGGCTGGCTTTCTCTAGTGGGAAGGAGACAAAAACTTCTGACTGTGCTGAACCCCAGGGGGAAACTCGGGGGAGCCGCAAAAGGCAGAGGTCTGCAGGCGCACACACGAGTGCGCGCAGAGAAGACTAACTGCTGTGTGCCACTGGCTTTCTCTAGCGGGAAGGAGACAAAAGCTCTTTCTGCGCTAAACCCCAGTTCTAACTGCACTGAACGCCAGTTCCAGGCGAGACCCTGGGGACCTTGGCTTATACGGGGGGAGATTCTGGACTGTCAGGTACAAACTCAGGGGAGCCAAGAAAGGCAGAGTTCTGGAGGAGCGCCTATAAGAGAGGACTGCCAGCTCAGAAGTTCTCCTGACATTGACACAGCTGATCTTCACAGCCAATTGGCCTGGAGGTCAATTCCTCCCAGTGATACCAACAACAATCAAGACTTAACTACAAAAAGGGTATACACAGAGTCCACAAAGGGGAGCACCAAGAGTGTCCACCTCACGTAATTGGGAGGCCAACCCACTGGCCCATATAGGACACCTAGCACACAAAGCTACCCTACCAACTCAGGGAAACAGCAAAAATGTGGAGACAAATAAACAGATCATAAACGAAAGAAATGGAGGAAAACAAATGACTGGATATAGAGTTCAAAACCACGGTTATAAGGTTTTTCAAAAATTTCCTAGAAAAAGCTGATAAATTTAGTGAGACCCTCAAGGATATGAAAAAGGACCAACTAGAAATTAAACATGCACTGATTGAAATAAAAAATATTATACAGAGACCTAACAGCAGACTAGAGGAATGCAAGAATCAAGTGAAAGATTTGTAATACAAAGAAGCAATAAACTCTCAATCAATAAAACAAAAAAGAAAAAAGAGGCCAAAGCCGGTTTGGCTCAGTGGTAAAGCATCGATCTGCGGACTGAAAGGTCCCAGGTTCGATTCTGGTCAAGGGCATGTACATTGGTTGCGGGCACATATCCGGTAGGAGGTGTGCAAGGGGCAGCTGGTCGATGTTTCTCTCTCATTGACGTTTTTAGCTCTCTCTATCTCTCTCCCTTCCTCTCTGTAAAAAATCAATTTAAAAAATATATTTAAAAAAAAGAATACAAAAATTTCAAGCACACCAACATCCAAATTATGGGGGTGCCAGAAGAAGAGAAAAAGCAAGATACTGAAAACCTATTGAAGAAATAATGACTGAAAACTTCCCCCACCTGGTAAAAGAAATAGACTTACAAGTCTAGGAAGTGCACAGAAACCCAAACAAAAAGAATCCAAAGAGGATCACACCAAGACACATCATAATTAAAATGCCAAGAGCAAAAGACAAAGAGAGAATATTAAAAGCAGCAAGAGAAAAACAGTTAGTTACTTACAAGGGAGCACCCATATGATTGTCAGCTGATTTCTCAACAGAAATTATGCAGGCCAGACGGGAGTGGCAAGAAATATTCAAAGTGATGAATAGCAAGAACCTACAACCAAGAATACTCTACCCAGCAAAGCTATCATTCAAAATTGAAGGTCAGATAAAGAGCTTTACAGATAAGAAAAAGCTAAAAGAGTTCATCACCACCAAACTTGTATTTTATGAAATGCTAAAAGGTATTCTTTAAGAAAAGGAAGAAGAAAAAGATAATGATAAAAATTATGAACAACAAATACATATCTATTAACAAGTGAATCTAAAAATCAAGTGAATTAAAAATCTGATGAACAGAATGAACTGGTGAATATAATAGAATCAGGGGGATAGAAAGGGAGTTTAGGGGCACATGTATATGTAATAGAACTCTTTTTTAAGTTAGGAAATTTTTAACACAACGATCATGATCTGTGCTTACATCAGTGGGGGTGAGGGCATGTCATGACTATGGAATGCCTCAAGGATGCGAGTGATTATTTATTTTTTTAAATATATTTTTATTAATTTCAGAGAGGAAGAAAGAGGAAGAGAGATGGAAACATCAGCTTTAATGCAAACAGCTAGAAAAATTTTCCTTCTGATTTGGGGAGTGTAAGACACAAGACTTTGGAAAGTGGTTGCTGAACAGTCTCCCCAACCTCAACACACCTGCTGAGCGTTGAGTACCACTGGCCATCAGAAAGCTGTTATTACAAGTTAGGATAGAAGCAAAGAGCTGAAGCAGGATGTCTGTGCCCAAGAACTTATCGCCAGAGGATAAAGGATGGGGCAGGGCAGTCCCAAAAGACCAGCACCAGGAGTTTTTCTAACTGGAAGAGTTTAGGTTTGTTAAAGTCCCAAAAGTGTCTACCAAGTGCCGCCCATACACCTTGCACAGGCCTCTCACACAGGCGGCTCAGCATCTGTCACGGTGAAGGCTTCAGGGACAAGAAAACACTTGGGTACCACACTTCTGTAAGATATAGTTTTCACAACACAAGTGCATTTGATTCTACTTTTAAGGTGTCACTGATCTTTTAACAGCCATCCTCATAATCCCTAAGGTTCTATTTCTTCTTTTATATTTCATATTGTTCAGTGTAATAATACTAGTAAGAAATAAAATACATGGGAATTCCAGGAAGCAATACTTTATAAATGGAATTTATAACAATACATTAATAATAGCATGTAAGACTGTGTATGCTATAAAAGTATTTTTAAAGGTACCCATCTATTCCCTAGGTATCTGTCTATCAATCAATCAATCAGTCAATTGAACTATCAATCTATCTGAAGAGCAGTGAGAAGCCTGGAGAGAAATACTAAAAGTCACTAATATTCCAGTGACTCGGCCCTATCAGATTCTCTCTTTATATCATAGTTTTAATGCCCATTAATCTTCTTGAAATTAAAGTCATAGATAATATGTTCTGCCTACACAAATAATGTTTTAAACCACTATATGCCCTAATGTAATGGATAATGTAAAGGATACATAAAAGAAAAGACGTTTATACTTTTTTGAAATTGTGCTGAAGAATATGATGCTTGTGATACAATTACACTAGATAATAGCAATGCCCCTATATTTGTAAAACAACTCCCAAGGGGAGATACTACCACCTTTGAATATTGTTGCATTTTTTAAAGGTATCCAGGGAGTGAGATTAAGACTTTCAAATTTTCCTTTTTACAGAAAATATTTTCCTTTATAATGAATCTCTGTTGCTTTATCATATGCTCAATACAAGAGGCAGAGAAAATCAAGAACACAACTCACCTCAAATGAATAAGCTTTCCCAATCCCGTCTCCTGCTCCAGTGATCACTGCAAAAAGCAGAAATGGTTTCAAGGGGAAAAATTGACCTTTCAAGTCCTCTCTCTAGCTGGCCATGTTTTCCTGCAGGCCACCTCTCTAGATAACTTACTATTCCATAGCAGGCCTAGCTGGTCTGGCTCAGTGGATAGCGTGTAGGCCTGTGGACAGAAGGGTCACAGGTTTGATTCTGGTCAAGGGCACATGCCCTGGCTGTGGGCTGCAGAAGGCAGCCAATCAATGATTCTCTTTCATCATTGGTGTTTTTACCTCTCTCTCTCCCTCTCCGAAATCAAGTTTCCAGCCCCTGACTTCCCTCACTAAATGTTCACATGAAACTTCTTTTTATTCTTTCTGAGGGATTGGTGAGGCCGTGAAAACACACTCCACAATGAAACAAAGCACCCAGCCAAGGAACAGTTCCTTCAGACCCCATAAGGGTTTAGGCATTTCTAAGCCTTAACTCATCAAGGGCAAGCAGTGCACTCTGCTATCTCTCTATCCACAGCCAGCTGTCACTGTAAGGACATTTCAAGGTTCCTCCAAAGTCCCGTTCCCCCACCACTGCTCGCCCCTCCCCCCCAATCCCCTCTCCTCCCCCACAGATCAACGGCAATCAACACCCATGGAAGGCAGGGAACTAAGCAAAGGAAAATACAGAAATGCAAAAAGGGGCTGAAATAAAATGGAGGGGCGTGAAGTCAGTGCTCAGTGGCCTTATTGACTCCTATATAACCAGCAGTTGGGCCTTCTAATCCTTTGTATCCAGCACCGTAGGTGAGAGCTGACAGCAGTGCACGCTCCCAGCACCACACTGGCAGAGGCACCCGGAGCCAGTCACTGCTAACGGTGCCATCTGTTTAATCAGGTACTTCTAACCGAAGCCAGACCCGTTACCTGTCCCCCTGACTAGAAGTACCATGCTCAGGGCTATCTTCACCACTTCCTCTCTCTTACGGGAATATTAGAAATCACCCAGGACCAGGCCCGCACTATAATTAAGATAATGGCATCAGTAAATTGCTGGCATCTACCGAGTGCTTCCTTTCTGCCAGGCACTGACTCAAGTGTTTTAGATTCCTCATCTCAATATTCCAAACAAGCCCACAAGTAGGGACCATCGTTATTCTTAGAGAGAGGACATCCTTGACTTGGTCAAGGTCATCCTGCCCAAAGTGATGATGATGGATCTGAACACAGGCTGGCTGACTTTGCAGCCACGAGTCTATTAAGACATACCATTGACATAATTAGCCAGTCAACCACAGGGCCCCGAGGACTTGACATTTCAGTCTCTAGTAACTACGTTTTCTCTTCCTCCCTCCTCCACGACACTATTTGAGCTATATTATCTCCCCAATATCTGGCTATGCCCAAGAACATTTACTCCTGCTAATTATAACACTATCCAAAAGACAGGTTAAGATTACGTTTTTTGAGTCAACAAATGCTAAGTCTCTGGCCTCCTGTGAACTTTTTTGGAGTGAGTGTTCTTAGAGGGGCTTTGCCCAGCACAGATGGGCAGCACTTGTACAGAGTTCGAAGCCCCCTCAGGCCTGGGCACTTGCATCTGTAAGAGCATGTGGGTCCAGACCCTCAAGGTTGAGCTAGCCTAGCAAGTTCATGGACCCAGGGCGCAGCCCAGGAGCCAGGGAGCATTCACAAATGGAACATGCCACCGTTCAAAACCCACTTCCACTCCCAATAATTTTCACATCGTAAATTTTTCTTCTTCCGATGCTAAAGTAGTAGGATTGCCAATTTAGCAAATAAAAAGGCGAGATGCCCAGTTCAATTTGACTTCAGGTAAACAAAGAATATTTTCTTTAGTATAAATATGTCTCTCACAGCATTTGGGATGTCACACACTAAAAATGTACTTGTTTATCTGAAATTCAAATGTAACTGAGACTCCTGTGTTTCATCAGGCAGCCCTGTGAAGCTGCTTACGATTTCTCCTATTTAGCTTGGCCTGGTATTTCTAAAGCTGCTTACATTATTTTTTTCTGGCCCATTGGATTTCTAGCTGCCCAAGTTGGAAATGTAACGTGAAACCACAGCCTCTGGCTCTTTACCTGACACTCAGACATGGGCTAGCATCCCAGCAGTCCAGGAACAAGCCCCCTGAGGAGACAGCAATTAGCCTACTTCGAACACACACCAGTCCCAGCTCCTATCTTCCAAAGGTGTCTCCACAGCCATCTGTGTGGCCTGGATTTTGTGACACCCTCACTTCCCAAAAGGGCTCAGAGAAAATTTTTTTTAATAAAGTGCATTAAAACTATTTGGATTTCAGACTACTGAAACACCCTGTAACAAAAACGGAGGCACCCTGGGCTCCCGGCAATCTGGAGAGGAGGCTGCGGAGCGTCTGCAGAGTTTACATTGTACCATCAGAAACTCCCCAAGGAAGAGAGTGGGGACCGCGGACAAGCACGTGGGCGGTGGACACACCCAGCTAATCTCTGCAGACCCCCCTTTCCCCACCACAGACACACCCAGCTAATCTCTGCAGACCCCCCACACACAGACACACACACCCAGCTAATCTCTGCAGACCCCCCCCCCCCACACACACACCCAGCTAATCTCTGCAGACCCCATCTTGTTGGCCCAACAGTTCTAATTTTACTCATGCTTTCTAGACACCCCCTTCCCCCACCCAACTTAAAATCACCCAAAAGAATCCCATCTTCGCCCAAAGGAAAAAGATGCAGAATGCCTGTTGAGACACAAATAATAATAAGCAGGAACAACGAAACCCAAGAGGCGGAGCGCTTCCTTTACCTGCCCACTGTCCCATGGACTTCAAGAAAGACCTTGGCAGAACTTTCCAGAAGTGCAGGAAAACACATCTGCAGAACCTCGCCCACTTAGCCAGGTAGACCAGGCACACCAGCAGCCCCACGGAGACGAAGACCTGCTCCAGGGCCTCCCCCATGGCCGCCCGTGGCGCCGGGCCTCCCGGTGCAGCTGCTGGGGAGGCGGGTCAGCCACCACCCGGCGTCCCTGGGTGCGTTCCGCCGTGTGCGGACCTTTAGATTAGAGTGACTTCTTTGCACAATCCTCCGATTCACGGGCTTGGGAATAAAGTATTCTTTCCAATATCTTTGGAGCACTGTGGGCTTTTGTGACCGTGGGGGGGGGGGGGGGGGGAGCTGGTGAAGGAGTGGAAGGACGTGAAGAGAGATAAAGTGTGGACGACATGAAAATGGCAGCTCAAGGTTCTCTCCCTGATTTGGAAGCTAAAAAGAATGCAATGTCCTGTGAGACGTTTATTCAGAAAATACATATGACTGCCTGCCAGGTGGCACAGCAGTCCCCTCATTGGGGACAGACCCTGGAGAGAAGCCGGGGCCGCTGCCCGGGGGGCGCTGAGAGCCTCGAAGGGGGGGACAGATGATAGGCAGGGAGCTAACAGACTGGTAGACATCAGTGCCATCAAAAGTGCTATGAGTGTCCTGCTAGGGTGACTAGTGACAAGTAGCCCAGAGAGAGTGTTCAGGAAGGAATTCTGTAGAGGGGCCCTTGGAGCTGAAATTTGGTTTCCCCTCCCGGCTGGAGGGGCAGCTGGTACAGATGCAGGGAAATGGGAAAGATCCCTGAGTCTGGGGAACAAAGAACACAACCCCGCAGGGACCCATCTGCAGAGGACCGGAGAGAAGAATGGCGAACAGTGGAGGTGTGAGGACCAGCCAGAGCCACTGCTGAGGAGGAGTTGGGGCTTCAGTCCAGAAGCGACAGGAAGCCATTGGAGAGGCTGAGACAAGGAAGTCCCAGCATCGGAATTATGCTTTTACAAGGTCACTGGGGGCTGAACGATGACCTTCTGGCGGTGGAGATAGAGGGTGGGCGTGACGGCTGAGGCAGGGGGAGTGAGACCGCAGCAGTCAGCCGAGACGTGCCCAATGTCACCCTTGTCTGTGATATTACCCAACCTCTAGACTGTGGGAGCTCTGTATGCCGAGGACTCCCCCAAATGTACACCAACCCAGGCTAGTCACCCAGACTTGCATATTCCACTGCCTGCTTGACACCTCCATTTGGATGCCTCATAATATACCTAAAACCAGTTTTGATACTATCTTCAAATGCCAAGCCTGCTATCAAGAGATAGCAACTCTTACCTTCCAGTTGTTCACCTTAAAAACCTTGGAGATACCTTTGACTTTTCTCTCTCCCCCATCGCACAGCCAAGCTGTCTCCTGTTGGATTTGCTGTTTTAGATTGTGCTAAACAACATGGCTATGAATATTATTGTATTTGTTCTTGCCACACATGTGCCAGTTTCTCTCTCTCGCTCTCTATCTTTCTCTCTCTCTCTCACACACACACACACACACGCACGCACACACACACGTACACACACACACACACACACAATAGCTGGTCACACAAATTACATATGTACAAGCTCAATTTTACCTTTATTAGTATATCAATCAACCCCACTTAAAAGACACAAATCACATACAGTATGAACAGGGATTACACAATATAAAAAAATTGTTAACTACTTATAAGGAATTTGCAACTACAAGCACATAGAAGACAACAAAAAAAGAATATCCAAGGACTGAAGGTGAATATCTAAGGAACAAATCAACTTGGAAGCAGGCCCTGGACCCAAGACGGTTCAGGCCTCACTGGAGGGATGTGGTTGCAGCCAATTGGATAGTGACATTTTCTGGGTTGCGCTGAGAAGCTGTTCCCAGGGAGGAGGAGGAGGCTGGTGAGCAGAACTGCTGCCTGGGACAGGACGTCCCCCCTGGAATGCTGGCAAAACTTGCAGAAATCACCGGGGCAGTTCTACTGAGGCTGAACTGGAGGAGAACTAGCATTTATTTCACACTATTGAGTCTTCCAACCTATAAGCAGGGTATATCTCTCCTTTTAGTCCTTCTTAATATCTTCAATAAATTTTTATAATTTCTTTTAAAAGTCTTGCACTTATAAAAATTTATATTAAGAAAAATATAGAAAACATACATAAGAAGAGAGACTAATTTAAAGGACCCCCCAATTACATATATTCTCTAATGACATTTAATAATAAAATTTACTACCATTTAATATCCATTGTTACTTTGTATATACCCACTTCCCCCCCATCGGCAGAATGGCAAGAGCTCTTTTTTTTTTTTTTTTAAATAGCATTGGCTTATAACATTCTACTAGGATAAGTTTCAGAGGTACAACACTATAATTCAACATCTGTATACACTATAGGATGGTTACCACCAAAGGTCTAGTTTCCATCTGTCACCATTGTTTTGTTTTGTTTGTTCATTTCCTTTACTTAGCATCATACCATAATGGAGTGGTAGGTGCATTAATATCACTAAAAGATTCATCAAAATGTTGTTTCTGTATTGTAAAATACAGAAGTTCACTGCAACCCTCCAAATGACAACTTCCAACTTGAAAAAAATGTAAGATCTTCTCTTTACCAGCTATTGAGGATCTCTTAGATGTTGCTCTAAGAGAAACTGAGGTTATCTGATGATTGAAGCTTCTTAACTTGAAGGAGCTATAAAGAAAAGGAGATATTCTTTATAACTTTATATATATCATACTTATAAAATTCATGCACTGGAGGGGTGGGCGTGTCCCTCAGCCTGGCCTGCTGCCTCTCATAGTCTGGGAGCTTTCAGGGGTGAAAGGCAACCCGGAGATCAGGGGAAGGCAACGCTCCATCACACTTCTGCTGCTGCCACTGCCGGCAACGCAAGCATTGGCCAGCCCTGGTTACCTGAGCCTCAGACAGCCCTGGGCAGCTGGGCAGCTGCTATGCGAGGCTTGCCTGTGCCTTGGGCAAGACCTGGGCAGCTGGGGGGCTGAGGGGACTGGGCACCATCATCTTATGGCTGTGGGTGCTGCCATCTTTGAGGGTGGGGCAGTCAATTAGCATATTCCTTCCTTACTGGCTGTGAGTGCTGCATCCTTGCTATGGTGTGAGGGTCAATTATTCCCTCATTATTAGATAAGATATATACTAGAGTCCTGGTGCATGAATTCATGCATGGATGGGGTCCCTCAGAGTGACCTACAGGGATTGAACCCATTTGTGCCCCTAGGCTCACAACCCCAGCTCATGCTCCCTGCCTTGCAAAACCACAACTCTGCTTGACACCCCACAGGGGCCCGGAACTGCCCCTTCATCTGTTCCACCATCCCACCTGCAGGACAATCAATCAGGGCTGGGCCCCCTACCTGGCTCCCTTAGCACATGGGAGCTGGGCAGCAGGCTCATCCCCATTGCCGATCGCCATCTGAGGGCGATTAGGCCCCTGAATGCACACTCCTTGGCCTGGTGCCTCCCGGTCACCTGCTCCACCATCGCACTGCAATCCCACTATCATTGGATCTCATCAGAGCCAGCAGCTTCTTCACTACCACCTGCTGCCAGCACCTTATCACTGACACCCACCTAGTTCCACACCACCCCCTGGTAGTCAATGCATGCCATAGCAAGTGAAGGACCACCCCACCAGAGGGGACAATTTGCATATTAGGTTTTTATTATATAGGATAACAGAATGTTATATTGAGAGATGGAATCTAAAAGGAAAGACCCACACATAGGTAGCATGACCTTCTGAGCCTGAGCTCTTCCTGATACAAAGGCCTAGTAAAGACAATCACTCTGGGGAGTGACTCCAGAGCAGGAGCTGGGCTGGCACTGGGAGACTGAACAGGGACAGACAAGATAGAAAGACACGGATGTGACCCTAAGCTGGTCACTGCTGTGGGTGACTGAGGTTCCATCCTGCTGGGAAGCCTCTGAGAAACTGGAAGATGCAGCTCAGACTCTTCTGGCTCACGTACAGAAGTAGAGGGTGTTGTCCATCGGCTCCTGTGCCCACTGATCAAGCCCTTGGGTATGATCTCCCTCATCTCCAGGTGTGGCCATATATCAGATGACTTATGAGTACCTGTGGGTGAAGAGGATCCGGAGGAAAGTGAGAGATGCCAGTGTAAAAAACACACACATCACCTGAGGAAGTTTAAATATCTCATTGACTTTATTCAACTATTCAAAGAGGAAGTTCCTATCAAAGGTTGGATTATCTCAGGCAAATTCATCTACCTATGGAAGACAGAAGACTACCTCACTAGTATTGACCAGCTAATACAAATTAACTGGTTAAATATTATATTTCTGGGATAGGGTAAAACTGCAGTTAGGTTAGATATGAAGCCTTGGTTTGCTGACTGGGGGATTAGTACAGGTGACTCCATTGGGATCTGTTGTTTCCTTTAAAAAAAAAAAAAAAAAAAAAAAAAACACCTCTCCCACCCCTTTGATCAAACTCTCAGCCTGCAAGATGTGATCTAAATTTAAGGGACTCATGCCCCTCGCAGCTACTGCTCTGTAGTTCCCACAGCTTTTATACCCTCGGTGTGGTGTTCACAGGTCATGACTGGAGTCTCACAATTTTTTAGTCAGTCATTCTCTTTGTCTTTTTCTGGTGTTCCCATCTTCAGGAGAGCATTTGCTCAGTGGTTAGCAGCTGTGAACATGCATTTAAAGCTTTGGGGAGAATTTAGTACATCAAGGAGAACATAGATTATAAGCAGGATAATTCCCTCCAACGTTTGAAGTGAACTTCAGAGCATGGTCCCCAGACCCAAACCATTCAAAACTAAGTGAGGAAAGAAAAGACTCCATTGTTGGGGTCACCCTCGTGAACCAAGTGGCTTGCTCAGTGATTTATGTAACTGACTTCTAGCTTCCTTCCCAACAGGAGTTACTACAGGCTTCACAGGTGAGTTGGCTACAGCACAGGCACTCCTTGTACAGCTAAAACCGTGATCGGCAAACTGCGGTTCGCGAGCCACATGCGGCTCTTTGGCCCCTTGAGTGTGGCTCTTCCACAAAATACCACGGCCTGGGCAAGTCTATTTTGAAGAAGTGGCTTTAGAAGAAGTTGTTTAAAA